GCCGTGCCCGAGGCGCCCGCCTTGCGCAAGCCTCGCCCGGCCGGTTCGGGCACCGCGCTCCGGGAGCCGCGAGGGACGGGACGGGACGGGACGGGGGAGGACCCGGGGCGGGGACAGCGCTGGGAGGGGTGCGGGGGACACGGGGGGGGACAAAAAAGGAGGGGACGGGGAGGGACATCGTGGGCAGGGTGGCATGGAGGGGACAAGGACATCGTGGAGGGGACAGGGACAACGTGAGGGGGACGCTGTGGAAAGGACAAGGACCCTGTGGGGGCATGGAGGGGACAGGGCCACCATGGAGGGGACAGGGCCACCATGGAGGAGACAGGGCCACCATGGAGGGGACAGGGACAATGTGGGGGGGGGGACACTGTGGAGGGGACAGGGCCACCATGATGGGGGCAGGGCCACCATGGAGGGGACAGGGACACTGAGGGGGGGGCAGGGACACTGAGGAGGGGACACTGTGGAGGGGACAGGGACGTTTGTGAGGGACACCATGGAAAGGACAGGGAGCCCGTGGGGACACTGCCATAGCCAGGGCACCACGGAGGGGACAGGGCCACCATGGAAGGGACAGAGCCACCATGGTGGGGACAGGGACACTGAGGGGGGTCCGTGGCCATCAGAGGGAGGATGTGACCAGCTCAGAGGGGACAGGGACCCCACAGAGGACATTGCTGTGGCCAGCAAGGGGAGCGTGTGGCCACTGAGGGGGTGACAGGGCCACCATGGTGGCCATGGCCATCAAGGGGAGGGGACAGGGACCACGGAGGGACATCAAGGCCATTGAAGGGGTCATGACCACGGCCACCATGTGCAGGACATGGCCATTGAAGGGGACAGGGACCACATTAGGGGACGTGGCCAGTTCGGAGGTGACGTGGCCACCATGGGGACCATGGCATCAAGAGCAGGACACGTCCAGCTCAGAGGGGACAGGGCCATCAAAGGGACAACGTGGCCATTGAGGAGGTGACACAACCACCATGGCTGTGACCACCACGTGCAGGACATGGCCAGCTGGGAGGGGACATTGCTGTGACAGTGCAGGGGGTGCCGTGACCACGTGGGAGTGACCGTGGTGGCCCCGGTGGCCATGGTGGCTGTAGTGGCCCCACCCCAGTGCCTGTGGTGGCAGTGGTGGCCATAGTGGCCATGGTGGCCCAATGGCTGTGGTGGCCCCAGTGGCTGTGATGGCCACAGTGGCCATGGTGGCTGTGGTGGCCCCGGTGGTGGCCCTGGTGGCCGTGGTCGTCCCAGTGGTCCTGGTGGCCCCAGTGACCCTGGTAGCCGTGGTGGCCCCAGTGGTCTTGGTGGCCCTGGTGGCTGTGGTGGCTATGATGGCCGTGGTGGCCCCAGTGGCTGTGGTGGCCCTGGTGCCCGTGGTGGCCATGGTGGCCGTGATTGCCCCGCTTGCCCCACTTGCCCTGGTGGCCC